AAATTGTGATGCATCTGTCCTCATTTTCTTTTTATTCCCTTCATTCCGTTGCTCTATATTCAGAAAGTTCTCAGCTGCAGGTAACAGGGATGCTGACTACAAATTGCTTACATGATAAAGCTATTTCACTACCTCATATAACACGGTGCTTGGAAAGGCATGGTTTCAGGTTGGTTTGGCAATTCAAGCATGTCATTGTCCATATCGCTTCGATTTTTGGCTCTAAACTCACAGGATGGCTCCTGAAGCTCCAAACACATTCTCACATCAGTACGCCAAGCTGGGGGAAGCACGGGGCAGCGGCAACAGGAAGCTTTCTTGGTTCCTTTATTGGGTGGAACTGTATCAAATGGCCACCTGTAGATATAAGCAAGGCTGGGAAGGCAAGAATCTGGCAAAAGAGAACAGAGAGCTGTGATTGGCTCAGGGCTTTATCTCCTGGGGCTGGGAGATAATGTATTGTAGTACTTGGGCATGTTGTGAATTACTGTTCTCTTAGCAAGAAAGAAAGGGGCATAGCTCTCAAGATTCACCTCCCTTGGCTGGGCACCTGTGGCTCAAGTGGCTAAGGCACTAGCCACATACACCTAAGGTGGTGGGTTCGAATCCAGCCCAGGCCCACCAAACAACAATGATGGCTGCAACCAAAAAAAAATAGCCAGGCGTTGTGGCGGGCACCTGTGGTCCCAGCTACTTGGGAAGCGGAGGCAGGAGACTCGCTTGAGCCCAGGAGTTGGAGGTTGCTGTGAGCTGTGATGCCATAGCACTCTACCCAGGCGGGACAGCTTGAGGCTCCGTCTCCAAAAAGATTAACCTCCCAGCAAAGAGAGCCAATGGGCCCAGCTTGGGCCACCATGTTTAAGTCACTATGCATGACTTCAAGGTAAACTTCCAAAAGGGAAGCAAGACCCCAGAGAAAAAGGAAAGCTGAGTTCACAAAAGGCATCTCCATCTGTCTCTCTTACAGGCTTTTCAGAGAGTGGGAAAATAATGCATTGCAACTCAACCTGGCCAGGACTGGCTACAGCTTTTGTGGGGCCCAGAACAAATAAACATATAGGACCTCTTGGACCAAAATTATTAAGAATTTCAAACATACGGCACTTCTAAACATGGGTTCCCTGTGACTGCAGAGGTCATAGGCCCTGCTCTGGGGCTAGCCCAGAATGGAGTGATCACCCCAGGAGAGTAAGCCTTGTTGAAATGTTTTAGGTTCTGTTTTTGTATGAAGTTGGCTTAAATTATTAATAGATGGTATAGAAATCCATAACCTTATATTGATATAATTAACATGTATCCAAGCCCTTTGTACACGCTCCCCATTAAAGAGCCAAGAAAGAGGTGATCAAAGCAGACAAAGTTCTCTGGGGCTTCTAATCTACCCCAACTATAACAGAACAAGAGGGATGTGAGTTGGTTTAATAAGGCGAATGTGAATTGGTTTAATAAAGGGGATGTGAGTTGGTTTTATTCCTCATGCCCATTCAGATTTGGCAATGCCAGCCTTTTATTTGATCATCACAGTGGGCCTGTGTGGTATTGCAATGCATTATCTCTGTCTTCCACACGAGGTCATGAGGAGGTCCATGGCCTTCCATGGTATGTGGTCAAGCTGGGATTGGAAACCAGGAAATCTCAATCCAGAGTCCATGTTCATTAGCACCCTGCAGCATTGCCCAAGTAGGGTCAGAAAAATTGTGAGCAGTTGGTCTGGTAAGACCAGTAGGTGAGGCCAGACAAAAAGGGGCTGTTGATTTGAGGGTCTTAGGATCCTAGTAGCCCAGGAGGTTTGATAAGGATATAACTCCAGCAACAGGAATGCAGGAGCGGGTTATAGCCCCAAGGATGTTCACAGGACATTAGCTAGGAAGCCCCAGCCAGGAAATTCACTTAGTTCTTCTCCCAGAGATGTCTGTTACCCACAGCCAGTTTCTGAAATGAATCCACAAGCCGGGAGTATTTGTCTAAGTACTTTAATTAAAATGCATCATAATGGGAAAGCCAGAGTGTAAATACAGTGCTCATATTTACTAAGAAAACAGATTAAAATATTCCAGGTAGCTGAACACATTTTGATAATGAAATTTTTTACAGCTTTTTGGTTTTAATTTTATTTAAAATATTTATGTAGTTAAAAAAATAACTTGCTATTCATTTTCTATCAAAATGCAGGAAATGTTGGGATGTTTTAAATAGGTAGAGATTAAACATTAGGTCCTGTTTCAGCTGCAGAATTATGGTACTTCCGAGCTGTGCCATTCATACCTTGGGGACCAACCAGTCCAATCCAATTTAAAGAAAAATGTCAGCCTCAAATTCAATTTACTTAATATCCAAGTTTTGTGAATGTGTTGAGCTTAACGACATGCCTTGGTGAAATTAAGACACTGCTAATCTCATTTCAAAATCAGTTTTCTTTCCAGAATAATTCTTGGGAACTTCAAGAATTTCTTGCTTCATATAATAGCAGTATATGTTCAAGAATTGCTATCTAAAAGAATAAGTACATTCATATATAAAATTCCTTATACAATAGGGTGTCACAGTGAAGGTGCCAGTGAAACATTTTTGCCGTCTACCAGAAGGCAGTATGTTTACTTTATGAGTATATCTGAAATACTTGCTGAAGATGGAAGCATTCTCTATGCTTGGATTTTTTTTTTTTTTTGAGACAGAGTCTCACTTTGTCACCCTCATTAGAGTGTTGTGGCATCATAGCTCACAGCAACCTCAAACGGCCTCTCAAGGAGCTGGGACTACATGTGCCCACCACAATGCCTGGCTATTTTGGAGATTGGATCTCGCTCTTGGTCAGGCTGGTCTCGAACTTGTAAGTTCAGGCAATCTACTTGCCTCAGCCTCCCAGACTGCTAGGATTACAGGCGTGAGCCACCACGCCCAGCCTTATGCTTGGATCTTAGAATACATGGGGAGAATATGCAAATGATAAATGGGGATGATAAGGAAAGCTGTCTGCCTGAACTCTCAGACTTCTCTCATTTAAAAACAGCATTTAGTAGTGAACTTAAGTCTGTACAATATTTTTTATTGCACCATTATTTTTATTTATTTTTATTTATTTTTATTTATTTATTTTTTTGAGACAGAGCCTCAAGCTGTCCCCCTGGGTAGAGGGCCGTGACATTACAGCTCACAGCAACCTCCAACTCCTGGGCTCAAGCGAGTCTCCTGCCTCCGCCTCCCAAGTAGCTGGGACCACAGGCGCCCGCCACAACGCCCGGCTATTTTTTTTGGTTGCAGCCGTCATTGTTGTTTAGCGGGTCCGGGCTGGGGATTCGAACCCGCCACCTTAGGTGTACGTGGCTGGCGCCTTAGCCGGTTGAGCTATAGGTGCTGAGCCGCACCATTATTTTTAACAGCCTAAAGTTGGAAACAACACAAGTCTCCATGATGGGAGGGTGGTTTAAATGTTATGATGAATCCATACAACGGGCTAAATTGTTTTCGTGACAATGCAATAAGCATGCTTTTTATGGACTGCTCAGGAACAATCTCCAAAATAAATTCAGTGCAAAATAACAGTGGCTCTAGGATATGTAATCACTTCAGTTTAAAAAAGGAGAAGGAAATAAAAACAATTTGCATATTTCCTTGGGTAAGGATGAGATATCTCTGAAAGGATGCACAAGAAACGGACAACAGTGATCGTTTCAAGGAAGGGGACCAGGGAGGTTGGATTCCAGGAAGAGGATGAGGAATTTTTACTGGGCATCCTTTTGTACCTATGTAAATATGTTATTATCTACTAAGATAAGTTAATAAAAGCTTTCTAGAAGGGAAAAATAATGTCAATCATCATTACATCTAATGTGATGATTACCCAGGTCACGTGAGAAGTCATCAACTTGATAAATCTGTTCCCGACTCTGGGATTTGGAAATGCTTAGCTCAGCCCAGGAACGCCCACATTGTTTAATTCTTTCACAGTGGAAATAAATGTTGTTTACAGTTGATGGAAAATTCATACATTTGTAAGCCTTCAAAGGCCCCTCAGCAGCTCACGAGTTCCTGTAATTTTGCAGAAAATGGGCAGTGCCATTGCAATTCCAGGCCCTTTGTGTTCATCGCTGCTGGTGGAAACAAATGCCCCAGCACTAGAATATTAAATTTTGTTTTTAATCACTCGCTCCCCCAAGAGCCAGTCAGTATGCAAATAAAATCCTCTTGATAAATATTCATGCACTGAATGACCCTGTTTTCATTTTTTATTTTCGTATTATAAAAGCAACATGGCATGATGTAGAAAGCTTTGGGGAATTTAAGTGTTGTCATCAGCTGTGAGATTCCATTTTCTGGGATTAATTGAAGTTGCTGCTGCCATCTCTACAGCAACGGTGTCAAAAGCAAGTAACAGGCTGACAACTGGGGCTCCTCAGAGCGACAGGCAGAGAAGATGCTCCTAAGACCCTGTCCTTTCACCTCGGAAACGCTCCAAGTCTCTTGCTGGTAAGTCTGTTTCCATCTTCCTGTTCTGGGATGATGGCATCAGACTTCAAAGGGAACAGGGAAGACAAGTGCCTCCCACTCTCCTGAGCGGCCTAATGTGACTGCCAGCAAAGGAAGATAGCCTCCTACAGTCAGGTCGCAACTGCCATAATTCCCACTTAGTCCAACAGCACTGCTATTTGCTAAGTGTTTTCCATCCCTGACATGTGGGAGAAAAATTCCTGAGGGGACAGCCCCCCACATTCAATAATCGATGACTTCACCCATTTCTCCCCAGCTCCACCAAGCTGCCCGGGCTGTTGGAGTTCCGTCCCATCCCTGCCTACGAACTGTAACAGTGGAAGAGAGTTTTGTTCTTAAAACAATAACAGTCAGGGGAAGGTGGGGTTCTCAAGTGAGAACTTAGGGACCAGAATATTTGATGAAATATGCTGATTTCATGACCAGCCCCGGGAAGAGGAGAAGCTGATGTCTGGGCAGGTGTGTGGCCGGTGGTTAACTGCGAGCCACTGCAGCCACGGCTGCGGCCCGCCTCACTCTGCCTCCTCCTTCTTCTCCTGGGGCACCTCCACCGACAGGATCTGCTCATCCGGCTCTGGTCCTGGGCTCATGTGAATCCTCACTGAGTGTTCCTCGGGTCTGGCAGACTCCTCAGTACCTCCCTTGGGACTCCCAGGAGACGCAGGTGGTGGTGAGCGTTGAGCTGGAGGATCCAGGGGCTCCTCGGGCGCTGCTGGGGGCGCAGGCTGGTCTGGGGCGGCCCCACCTGCCTCTCCAGCAGCCTCCTGAGATTTCTTGGCCTGGAATCCAGAAAGGGTGACTTGTGAGGCACAGTCCATCCAAGGAGCCTTGAATACCTTCTGGTTCTCCCCTTCTCAGAAAACTCCTCCCCAAAGGAAGACAGTAAAGCAGATAGGAGTGTTTGGGGGGCAGGGATGAAACTGGAAATTGAGCAGATCTGGCTGCATCGGGTTATTTATGAGAAACAGAATATACTATGGCGAAGTGCAAGGAGTAAACATGCAGGGTCTTGGAGATGTTTCAGATTTCTTTTCTTTTCTTTTCTTTTTATTTTGAGACAGAGCCTCAAGCTGTCCCTCTGGGTAGAGTGCCGTGGCATCACAGCTCACAGCAACCTCCAACTCCTGGGCTCAAGCGAGTCTCCTGCCTCTGCCTCCCAAGTAGCTGGGACCACAGGCCATCACAGCTCACAGCAACCTCCAACTCCTGGGCTCAAGCGAGTCTCCTGCCTCTGCCTCCCAAGTAGCTGGGACCACAGGCACCCACCACAACGCCCTGCTATTTTTTTGGTTGCAGCCATCATTGTTGTTTGGAGGGCCTGGTCTGGATTTGAACCCGCCACTTAGGTGTATGTGGCTGGCGCCTTAGCCATTTGAGCCACAGGTGCCGAGCCAGATGTTTCAGATTTCTGTTACAGGGTGGAAAGCCAGGGTGAAGTCCCAGTTCAAGGGCAAAGCCACGCCCCTGTGCTATTGACAAAGGTGCCACCAAAGGGAGCTGCCACCAAAGAAATGTCCTGCCCCACCCTGTTAGCAGGAACGGGAGTTCCTGGAGGTGATGAGAGAAACTCTAGGTAAACAAAGTGCAGGGTGATGAGGTGGGGAGCCACTGGGGCCTGGCCATCTTTCTGGAAGGTCTCAAAGGTTGAGACCCTCAGGGGAAGAATAGGGAAGAAACTGGCACTGGGCTGAGCTGACCCATATTTGGGGACTGGGTGGGAACCTCCAGCCTTTGGTCTGTGCTGCCTCCCACAGATGTTGGCCCCAGTCTGTGTCTTAGCAGGAAAGTAGGTTAAAAACCAAGCCTTTGTGAATACCTGCAGCCCTCCATCTCTGCGTGAAGGAAACTGGAGAGGGTGCAGCTCCCACAGAAGGTGGCCGGAGTGGTCCTCCCCCACCCAACACCCGTGCAAGGTGGCAGACGTAAATTTAAAGTGAGCACAGCCAGTGTGCTTGTGAGGCATAGAGACTCCCTGAAGCTTGCTCAAGTCATAGGGCGTTGAAGGAAGGGAACAGAGGGGGAACCAAGATGCTCTTAGAACTGAAGGCAGCCCTGGGGACCCGCTGCCCCCGTCTCAGGGTTTCTGCATGTTTGGGTGCACCTGTTGCACCCTCCTTTTTCTACCCTAAAGTTTGACAAGGAACTTCCTAAGCAAGATGCTTAGCTGGTGACCATTACAGGACTTCCTGAAGCATCATGCTATGAATGGAACCAGAATGGGACCTTGATGCAAAGGCTAGTAAAGTGCTTTGTTGTGTTCCAAATGTGCTTATAAAATGCTTCCGAGGCATTCTGCTTGATCCTTACAACTCCATGCGGCAACTCTGAGTAATCCGCATCTCAGAAAGCTTGCGTGGCTTCCAAGGGTTGTGGAGCTAGACAGTGACAGAGCTTGGGTTTGAACCTGTCTCAGTACTTTCTTTTTTTTTTTGAGACAGAGTCTCACCCTGTCATCCTGGGTAGAGCGCCCTGGCATCATCATAGCTCAGCAACCTCTAACTCTTGGGCTCAAGAGAGCCTCTTGCCTCAGGCAGGTACCACCACACCTGGCTAGCTTTTTTTCTATTTTGGTAGAGATGAGATCTTGCTATTGCTCACCAGCCTGAGCTGAACTTCTGAGCTCAAGCAATCCACCCACCCTGGCCTCCCAGGGTGCTAGGATTACAGGTGTGAGCCACCCGAGTCTCAGACTTCTAGTTAAGAGCTCCTAGCACTCTGCCATTCTGCCCTCTTGTTCTAAATTGGAGGGGAAATGCCTTTTATCAGAACACTCATGCAAATTTAATTCACATCTCAAAGCTGCCTCAGCAAAGAGCAAACACTTAAAAGCAACAAACCTATTTCAGCCAGAGCCTTTGACTGTACTGAGAGCACTACTGAAATTCACATCTATAGAGACCACAACGTGATGCTTTGCAAGCCAACGGCTTGCAAGCCAGGCAATCAGATCTTCCTTCAGTTTAGGGCATTGGTAGCTGTATCTGGAGAATGTTTTGGATCCCTAAGTGGCTTTGATGTCACTCACTAGACTCCTATTGTCAAATGACCTCTGGGTGGGTCTCCTGGGCTCTGACACCTACCTGGATGGAGACAGAGGTTGCTCCCCCTCCTCTGTTCAAAGGAGCCCAACAATCTAGACTGTTGCTCCCCCTCCAAAGAGCCCCTGCCACTGAGCCCCCTCCTAACTCCAGTCCCTCCTCCCTTTCCCAGCAGCCTTCCTAAAGGGCAGTCATAAACAGACATAATTAGTGTAATCATTCTAATTGGCAAGCTTGGCTTTAGTCACAGAAAAAAGTCCCAGAACTAATTTTAATATTTCCTTTGGATTTATGGGGGCAGAGGCAGTTGGCACTATACCTGTCTCTGAGGTTTTCTCTTTCAAATATTTTAAATCATCACAGACACAATATTAACTATGAGAACATCACTGTCATCTGGAGAAGGACCAACCTTGCCCCTCCCTAACCCTCTTTGACAGCACCAGGAATTTCCTTTTTTTATGTGTATGTATATATTTTTAAGACAGAGTCTCTGTCATCCTAGGTAGAGTGCCTTAGTGTCATAGCTCATCGCAACCTCAAACTCCTGGGCTCAAGAGATCCTCTTGCTTCAGCCTCTCAAGTAGCTGGGACTACAGGCGCCTGCCATGATGCCTGGCTAATTTTTCTATTTTCAGTAGAGATGGGGTCTCACTCTTGCTTAGGCTGTTCTCAAACTCCTGAGCTTAAGCAATCCACTTGCCTCAGCCTCCCAGAGTGCTAAAATTACAGGCGTGAGCCACTGAACTGGGCCAAGAGTTTTTTTTAGTTGTTTTTTTTAGAGCGTCTCACTCTGTCACCCTGGGTGGAGTGCCATGGTATTATCATGTCTCACAGCAACCTCAAACTCTTGGGCTCAAGCGATCCTCCTGCCTCAGCCTCCCAAGTAACTGGGACTATAGGCCCCTGCCACTACAACCATCTAGTTTTTCTATTTTTAGTAGAGACAGGGTCTTGCTCTTGCTCAGGCTGGTCTCGAAATCCTGAGCTCAAGTAATCAATCTGCCTTGGCTTCCCAGAGTGCTGGGATTACAGGCATAACCTACTGCACCTGGCTTATATTATCTTGTTTGTTTGTTTGTTTTTGAGACAGAGACTCACTTTGTCACCCTTGGGAGAGTGCTGTGGCATCACAACTCACAGCAACCTCAAACTCTTGGGCTTAAGCCATTCTCTTGCCTCAGCCTGCCAAGTAGCTAAGACTACAGGACCCTGCCACAAGCCACAATGCCCGGCTGTTTTTTGGTTGTAGTTGTCATTGTTTGGCAGGCCCAGGCTGGATTTGAACCCTCCAGGTCCAGTGTATGTGGCTGGCGCCCTAAGGACTTTCCTTTAGAGACCTTCCTCTCCCCTCCGTGACTCTCACTTTGGGTCAGGCCTCTCAAAGCACTACATTCCTCTGGCCACATTGAATGGCTCAGGAATTGGCATGTGGGCCCCCAATCTCAGTGAGTCCTGGGACTTTTGCTGGACTCACGGGGAACGAGTACTTTCAGCTGGAGTAACCACGCAGGAGAATATAATCCTAGAACTCTCGAGACCTGCCTGGAAAGGGAGCCCTGAGTGAAGGCAGCAGCTGTGATCGAATGAGAGAACTAGTCCTGGGCAGTGCCTGTGGCTCAAGGAGTAGGGTGCTGGCCCCATATACTGGAGGTGGCGGGTTCAAATCCAGCCCCGGCCAAAAACGGCAAACTAAATAAATGAATAACTAGTCCTGTGGGCATCAGTTAGGCTTTGGTAGCCATTTTTCCATCACGTGACCCCCCCCAGGTCCCCATTTGCCCCGGCTAATTTGAGCTTGCACTCTATACGTGGCAACTGAATGAGTCCTAACTGATAGAAAGAAGGAGGGAAAAGTCCCTAAACCTCCATGTGTGGGCCACTCTCAGATGTCCCTCAGTCTTGTCCCTGGATGTCCC